AAATCGGTCATTCTGGGGGAAAGGTCCGGTGATGGAGTAAATAGGTTGTGTGACGGTGCTGCTGTTATTTGCTGATGTTTTGTTTACCTACCAGCAAAATATGTGGAAAGAAGAAGCTACTGTAAGTTCTCTACTCAACACAAGAATACCGATCTAAAGAGATATTCGTTCGACTAGGAGATAGACTGAGGCTTTGAAGAACGTACATGGAAAATAAGGAACCACTGCTCTGAGATGGTCGATTCGCAGCACCTAATTGTACCTTCGGCTACTCTGGGGTTTTTTTTAGCTAGACTTCTGCTTTAAAACGATCTAAAAATTACTTTTGGAACTGTGAGACGCAAGTAGCTATGAGTAGAGCTGTGGAATTTCCATTACATTCGTCCCAGAAAAAGTCGCTTTTTCCTCCTCGAGCGCACATATCAATGACGATTTCACTGCACTCCTGGAATTTACATGGTTTTCATAGTTTTAATCGGGATATTTTGGTAGTTTTGCTCAATAGAGTCTATAACAGTCTCCACCAGTAAGCAGCCAATTCCGTATGCTGATAGTGTTCTTACGGCTGCAGACGACCTACGACTTACTCAGCACGGATTAGAATTCTTACCGTAGTCGTTTTACCGATAATACAACAAAGATATCCGAACACGAATACAAATTTTTCTACATACATACACTGAGACGAAGTCGAAGGCACTTTACTTACCTGCCAGGGCCAACCGAGAGCGGCACCTCCCAGATTGGCTGTGCCAGGATCACCGCAGACAGTCGGATTGATGCAGTTGTACTGGAGATTACCAGAGGTGTTGTAGTAGATATTTGCAGCATTATACATCATTGTCGCGAGTTCCTTGTCGGTGAAAGAGGTACCCGTGTCATTCATGTAGCCACAGGCAGCCTGAAAGCGTTCGGTTCTGCTCTAACATGGTCTCTAGACGGGTTTCGAGGATCCTGGCCTGGTCAGTGGTCAAGCCGAGAGCAGGTGAAAATGGTTAAGTAACCCCGTTCTCTATCTGACTTGCTACGTTGCCGTCGCAGCCCAGGCATAACTCAACAGTACACCATTTAACGAGGGCTTGGAACCTATTTGGTGAACACGCTGCGTGGCCACAGCACCCCGTGGTATCACCTCGTGGTATCAGAGCTGCTAGAATTTAACGATGGAAGAGTGTTCCCTCACTTGAACTGGATATCCAGGAAGCTTCTTAAGGAACCCTGTAGGGTACGGGTAGTTGACAATAGCCATGTACTCGATTGCTTTCCGGAAGTAGTCATTGAGATTTCGTCCATCGTTCCTCGTCTTGATCAGAGACCTTGGATCAATCTTTAAATGCGTGTTCAGAAAATTGCGACCATCATCTGGAAAGAGATTCGCCTGAGAATAGTAACAGACAGTAGGTGGAAGGTTTGATCGAGGTTTCATAGGTATTTAAACCCTGTTAAATAGAAATCAGAAAGGTTAGCGGATAAAGAGGCCTGACGGCCACGTTTTGAGTGCTCCTATTTGAAGTTGTAAACACATTCTTACTCTGTGCAGAATGTACAGAAGCTCCCAAATTAAGAGCCAGTAGGTTAAAGCGTATCAGCGGGCGCCACCTAGCACTGCAAGTATTGGAGGATCTACGAGTACG